GCCTTCCACTTCTTCTACTCCCACCAGCGGATACTGCATTGAAAACTTTCAAAGCTGGTGTCCTTTCATCGATTCGGACGACATGATCTAGCCAGCGTAGCCGCTGTCTCTTCATTCGCTGAACTATCTCAATATCGTCATATACAATACCTCGTAGAGCTCATCGTTCCATCGTCTGCTGTAATCACCGTTCCTCTCAGAAACTCACAAAGCAGACTCATGAGATGTCGATATCGTCCACGCTTCTCTAGAGTTTGGTCTTCGTTCATCGGGAGAGGTTTTTACTCTTCAATTGCCTGCTCAGTCCAAAGTAGCACCTGATGGCAAGAGTGATTCTGCGTTGGGTTTCAAGGCTGACATTATTATTGGTGTTAGTACCGGGTCCAAGATAAACGAAATTATCTACGACCTCGAAGTTATGACTGTCAACAGTGATGTATGAGGCAAGTCGCGATTGCGATGATTGTTTGTTTGATGACACGATGACAGGAAATATTTCGTCTTGTCTTCGCTCACTACAAGACTGATTTGCTTCGCTTCTTACTCAATACATCATCAGCATATGTACACTCTTAAAAAGGATTGTACCTTCTCTCTTCGAAGAGTCAGTCGAACGAGGAGCTCTTTCTAGAAAAATTATTAATATATTAATTTCTGATCAAAGCTACCTCTCTACCATCATTGGAATCAAACGATCAACAATTTATTTTTTCCAAATAGGTCGGGCCCAATTCTTATTCCCGGAAATACGTATTAAACCTGATTTTATGAAAAACGAACGATATAAAAATAATTTTTTTTCCAATATATTGGTCACAGATTCACATCCCGAGAAATACTTTCTTACCTTAGCCCTACTTGTGGAGGACATCTCCGGATTTCTACTCCCTAAGATTAGCGATTTAGACTGTAGGCTGATCGGTCAGTTATTCAGGATAAGGCCTCTTTTTCACTGGCACATACATACATACACTCTGACGCCAACTGGGGACACCAAGTGGTCCGTGAGTAACCATAAAGAGTTATTTTGTTTTCAAGTAGTTCAGGATGTGCAATCTTAGACCTAAAATCTTCTAGGTTGCCGTCATCAGACTTTCGCTTGAAGATTAGTTAAAGTGAGAAACCTCTATGAAGGGTGTGTAGGGCTTCAAACAATCTATCTTTAAACTCTGCTCCAAAGAAAGGCACCATTAAGCTTATGGTTCGAGATTCCAGAATCTTTTTATAAAATTTGAAAAATATCAAAAAAAAAGGTTGTCTTCTAAAGACAGTTAAAAAGGGTTTGTTAATGACTTTTAACCATGAGAAGTACCAAAATAGATATATATGTATGTTCTTTCCGCTACTCTTCAGCACTCAATTGATAAGTTATCATTGGGTCAGGTATTAGGACCATAAAACTCACGTAAAAACCAAAACAAATTATGGCGTGATTTTATTGGAATCGAACAAATCTGAGTATTTGTTATTTATACCCGCACATACATACATACATACATACATTCACTCATTAATAAACAAGTAAACATAAGTATTGTATAATAATCATAAAAAATATGTTCAACGCAGTGCAAGAAACTTTCGCTTTGCTTCTTCTCTTTCTTCTTCTTTTTAGTCACTGCCGACGGTAAAACGTCAAGTCTTCACAGAACACTCACTAGGCATACAGACGTACAGACATACATACATATATCTGAATGGGTAGTTGCATATGTATGTATGTCAGCTTGTAGAGAGTTTCGCCCTCACCGTTGCGCTTATCGTCGACAAACGAGTATTAATTTGTTGTAGCGCCTGACATTTTTATGGACGCCGTCGTTTTTTTTTTTATAATTTTTCTCCGTTTGTTTGTTTTGTTGTTGTTGTAAATATTGCTTGCCCGCAGCGCTAAAACTATTAATGTTGTTGTTCTTAACTTAGTTTTTACATTATTTAATTTTTTCTCCTCACTGCGTCTATTTTTTCGCTTCGCTTTTTGGCTTACTTTTTTACAGTTTAAATAAATACAATTTTTTTTTTTTTATTTGTTTATTGCATACAATAAATTAGTCATTTGTTAATCACATATGACATACGTCATAATACGCAGACTTCGCAAAAGCTTCGAAGCTTTGCGCTACAAATGCTTGGCAGGCATTCGAAGAGAATCGATTCTTCTTGTGGGTCTTGGGGTTTGGGGCAGTTAGTCAGGCGGGTTTTTAGGGGTAATCAATTGGTAATAATGAATTATGCGCATTTTAATATTATTGTATATTAACGGTTATAAGTAAATCGTTAATTTCCAATTGGCTTTATGCCCACCTCTGTATTGTTGGGTAAGCTTGAATCTCGCTTGTAGTTACGTTCGCTCTTTATGTATCCATTACCGATTCAAAAGAATCTCCAGAAGCCAGTTGCTTCCCCACTTTATTTTTCTTTCTCATTCTCTGCCTCCATCAGACGGTACTGCATGGCGAGCTTTTCTCCATTCGGATGACTTAACTGCCCAGTGCAATCGCTGTCTTTTTATGCGCTGAATTATGCCAATATCGTCGTATATCTCGCACAGCTTATCATTCCATCTTAGTAGCAGTATTCGCCGTGGTCAATGCGCAAAGTACCATGAATCTTACACAAAACCTTTGACTCGAAAACTCAACACTCCGACCCATCAGCTGTTGTCATCGTCCATGCCTCTGTACCACATAGCACGAGGGGAATATTGAGCAATATGGAAGAATTTCTATTTAACCATTTAGTTGAACATAAATTGAAGTTTCAAAAAATATTCTTTAAAATTATTATTTTGTTACAAAACGGCGGTGATAGAGTCCATTATTTAATCCATAGTTTTTTGAGAGGCGTCCACGGGAGAACCGATTACTCCTAAAGGATGAGACATAGAACAGAAAAGCAAAAAGTTTTATGATCTAAAAATTTTGGTCTTTGGAAGTAAGTACAGATTTATATTTTAACTAATTTTCGTGAAAGCGGCAGACTCTTTTTTAAAAAGATTGATTGATTTTTGACTCAAATATACGCACTAAATTATTAAAAAAAAGTTTACATTTAACCGAAAATGAGCTACGTAATTCCAAACAAAAATTATATTTGGTAAGCAACCAACAAAATTTCAGTTATCTGAATGCATTAGGGTCCGACCAGCTTGAAAAATATGATTTTGAGAAAGACGCGTTTCAAAATTTTCATTGTACTCAGAGCGCGCTCTGAGGGGCAGCAGCAAAATAAAATGGTCAACTTTTTAAAATATTTTTTTCACCTTAAAACCAATTGCATATTATTTCTAGGATCCAAAGGTACCCTGTGAGCAAAAAAAAAAATTGTGCGTTTTCGAAAATCATAAAGTGGCTTTACCCCTTAACTATCTGATGCTTCGCTTTCTCTTCTTTCAGTCTGGACAAAGAAGCGGTGTTTGGGGTTTTTGGTGATATTATAATCTTCGTACGTCAGCAGATGTATGCTCATTCAGAAGATTGTACCGTCCCTTCAGCACACATTATTTTCTCCTGCATTAAGTTAAAGAAGTCGCGAGAGAAAGAGTTACTCTGTTCGAAAACTCCTTTGAGGTTCTTCGCGATCCTGACAGAGCTTTTGGTGTTTCTTAACGTCAGTTTACATAGAATTAAGACACAGCGGCATAAAGGCTTCTCCTTTTCGTTAAATGCTGCTAAATCGACGAAAGAGGTGGTTCTTTTTTCACACGCCTTTTCCAGGATATATTGTATATATATATATATATAAATAGGTTTTCCTCTTTTAAAGCCAATTGCTAACATTATGGTACCGATCGGTCGTGTGACATGGATTCACAAACCACCTTGGTTAGGCTCGAGGTCCATCTAAAACCTCTTCCGTGCTATTATCCGACACCCGGTAGATATGTTACTCTTCCCGTATTTGGGTTAAAAGCACAGCCACGACGATACTCCCCTACGGGCGTTCCCGCAATGAACAGGTCGGAGTAAGTTCCGAGGGCTCCCGTTCTCCGTAGTACCAGGTTTAAGGTCCCCGGTCAGGCCTTGTAACCGGAGTTACTACCAATTGGTCTCCCATACGGCTCTGGATTGGTAGCCAGAATATTAGTCGCCTTTTACGACGTGCATGCCTCGCCGCCAGTATAGTCTCCTCTCGTACGCGCACGATGAAACGTTGCGACACAGGCAGCTTTCTTTCTCCCTTCTGCGGTATGACAATTCTCGAAAACCATTTGTTTCGTTTACAGCTGCACGTAGGGATCTTGAAATGTCCTCCCACAGTTCCCTTACATCGAGTTGCATATAAGTGATCTGAGAGTGCAGAAAACTGCTTGGCTGCCTGTTGTGATATCAACTTTTCAACGTCGAACCTTTATGAATTTGCTGCAAAGAGTTGGCTGTGATATATTTAATAATGGTCCCTCTTAATGTGAGGATCGCCCGGACGATAAAGACATGTCTTGCGTCTATCACAACTTTTTCCAATAACATTTTTCAGTTGGGTTTGAATCTCTTGATTCGTTGTAAGCTAAGTAGCCCGATGGAAGCTAATCATACTTAGGCCATTTAGCTCTCTTCGCTGCTGTAATTTTAGTTCATTTTCAGGCAACAAGAGAAGGCACTTTTGGTCACAACGTCCTTCACGGGGCGGCTCTTGGGGATAGTCCTGCGTCCTGGCATTAATTAAAAAATATTTTTATCGTGAGCCGGTGCTTCAATACTGACGCTCCACTAGGTGCTCTGACGCTGTCATTGAACTTCAGCGAGCCGGATTTCAATATCTTTAAACCAAATGTGTTGGAGTGCCTTAAATCAAGCTTGTTATCTTTTAGCGGCGACCTACACAAGGGTTGCTCGCGTTTCTATGCTACGGGACATGGACGCATGAGGAAGAGCGTAACTTAATATTCAAAAGCGGAGCTGCGTTCCATTACATCTCTTTCATCTACTCTTTATGTTTAAAAAATACGTACATATTTACTTAATGCCAAGTAATTAACAATTCACCTCTCCTTCTTTTTTCAGGCGCCAGTCGTCGACGTTGCTTGAGTATTCTGAAAACACTACGCGATCGCCATTTGGACTTACCTGGCAATCCGGTCACATCCTATCACCTAAAGACACTGCTGCTCTACGAGTGCGAGAAACATCCGCGCGAAATGGAATGGGAAGAGAACTGCATTGCTGACCGCATCAACGGTATATTTCTACAACTAATCTCCTGCTTGCAATGCCGACGGTGTCCACATTACTTCCTACCCAACATGGACCTCTTCAAGGGCAAGTCGCCAGGAGCGTTGGAAAACGCAGCGAAACAAGTTTGGCGTTTGACGCGAATTATGTTGACCAATGTGCGGTGTTTGGAGGAGTTGTAAAGTTGTTATAGAATTAAGAAGTTTAAGAAAAAAAGGAAATAACTTATAAATCTAGTTTTAAGCTTTTCTTAAGTTAGTTCGTTCCTGAGTTGCCTATTTTAGTGGAAAGTAGTGAGAAAATATAAAAAATATTTAAAAAAAAAAATTAATATTTGATTCTGGATACAAAAATTATCAATTAGGTTTTATTGTAATTTGTGTGTTGTGTGCAGCTGCAAAAGTCCAGTGAGTAGCTTTTAAGTGGCATAATTTGTTTTAGTACTCTTTGAGAGCTTTTTTGAAGTTTAACAAGGAAAAGATTAGTTTTTCAAGTGTGCAAAAAGTGTACAGCGTTGCATTTTTATTTTGTATAGAAAATATTCTTAAAGACAACAAATCTTTCTAAAAGTGCACATAGAATGTATTCGCTCATATGAAAGCTTTTTTGCGAGCTTTCTTCAAAAATAATTTTTTTAATAGCTTTTTAGATGTTTTTTTTTTTCATTTTCTCTGCACTTTTCTTGCATTTCTATGTAATTTAGGTTCTATTTGTTATAAAATATTATATATTTTTTAAGACAAAAACAAGAAATTTGTTCTATTACAATTTAATTGCCTTTACTACTACTATAAGTCGTTTCGTTAGTTTATTTATTGTATTTTAAATAATTTAATTAATGCGCAACCTTGAAGTATGAAAAAAAAATAAAGTAAAAATAAAATTATTAAGTATTGGAAATATTTTTAAGCGTTAATATTTCTTCTTCTTATCAAACAGAATTAAAAATCCTTTCGCATTTGTTCCCTCCTTACCATACTGTGGGCAATCGGAAATAATACATATATATTATGTAGGTTAAGTTGAAGTGTTTGCTGTACATTAGCACACTTAAGCTAGAAAACGGTCCACAGTGGTGGCCCTGAGGATGCGAAAAACTCGCTCCCGCACCCACTCATTTTCTCAAGTCTCCAAAGATTGTCGTCGCTAGAGAGTTCAATCTACTAATCCCGAGGACTTAACCGAAAGCGGTCGCTTCTAAGCCATTAAGAAGGCATATTTAGCTGCTTGACCTATGAACAGGACTCGAACCTATGACATTCGGCATGACAGTATGTACTGTTGTAGATTCTTCTGATATTTTATCCCAAAAAACTATGCTCGTTAGCGGCGGTCGCGTTAGCCGAGTAGTTAGCTTTTCCTACCGCCATTCGGAAGGCTCGGGCTCAAACCCCCGTGCGACCAAAATCCAAAATGATATAGACAGCAAGGAATGTCATTCCACCCGAGTGTATTTCTGGCATGAAAATCAAAAGCTATACGGAGGCAGCTTAGTATAAACTGTAGGTCCCTCCGTTTGTTGGAAAAATATCAAGACTACAAAGCGCTAACTATATATATAATAAATGATCATCAGATTGCAACAATTGCGAGTCTTCTATCTTAAAATTAGCATTTACGATAAATAAATCTCTTATAATGATCTCACCAGTGGAGAGCGGCATTCCCTTATCCTCTTCCATGTTGATGAAAATGGAAGTTAAGTGACCTACCTTGCAAGCTCGTCGAAACTACTTACCCGGCTTGCTACTGCTAAGTCATCACGTTAAGTGATCTGCAGCATTTTTCTATACTTTCGGATTTTACTGTAAGGAATTGCAAAGCCCTTAAGACCGTCTGGCTCCATAAAAAGTTATATCTATATTTTTTTGAGCCTAATCTATGATCGCCTGTTGCACTCGAAAAATGATACAATATCCGACAGACGATAGCGCTTTCTAATACCAAACTGTTGCGGAAAATATAATTGATCTGCCGTAAGACCTGACATTAGCTCTCCAAGCTTTGTCTCCATCGGCGTAAATGATTTGCGAAGAAAGCCAAAGCATTGCTACATTAATTGATCTCGCTTACATAATTGAATTATAAAAGATAAATGATCATCATCTAAAACACTATCGAGATCTTGAAAGGGACAGTTTGAGGTTCTAAATGCAAGCGGTCGCACCTAAGCGCTTGAGTAGGATCATTGTTCCCCTCCGTGCATTTCAAATATGCGTTTGCAAAATGTTCGCTTTGGTTTTGGAACTGTCTTACATAGACGAATTAACCATGTGTGCTAAGGTTGAATAGAGCTGGGAGCATTTAATTCGACGTCTAAATCAACTGAAAGCGCCAAACGTAGCACTCGAGAGTCCTCGTCTAAGCAAGCTCTACACTAAGTCGAGTTCCCTTTGCGGAGCTGCTTCCTCAATACAGCCACAAGAATACTAAATTATCTTTTGCTTAAGGCAAGTACCTTTTTGGTGTCTGTAGACAATCCACGCTCCTACGTTGGAAGTGCTCGTGGACCTTAAGTGTTCTTCCTTGGAACAGTGTTATTTTATTCAGTACTCCATTCAGGAAACCACAAGACATCACCACCATCCTGAAGTGTGATGGAAGGTATCAAACGTCACGAGGATATTCTGTCAAGCTCAATTTCGCAACGAATTCACAAAAGCGGCTATTCGAATTTGTCTTGTGGAACTTACTCTCTTTTCTAGAAAATTTTGTCTGCGGTCAAATAAAAGCTTAGTAAAACTCATTTCGAATCGACTGAAGAAAGTCCAGGAGGTATGTCGAATGTTTACTGTTTTCTTTCAGACCGTGTTTAGGGAGTCTTTCGTTATTTATTATATATTCAATCACTCCGCAGCATGAATTCTCGATATGTCTGAGTGTGTAAAAATTATCTAAACTATTGATCCATCCATTCTCTCGAAAAACAGCACAATTTAGTCGGATGCATCCAAAAAGTATTTGTCTTGAAGGAATACACGCTTGCTATATTCCACGTCATAGAGGGTGATTTCAACAACATTCTTCCTGTAATCGTAACAGGGTCTGTAGTGAATCTTGCAAATCTTGTAGAGCGTTTCCTAAGAATCAAATCATTTTCGCAGAGATAAGCAACGTCAGAATCACCAGACATACTACAAGAGGAACCCCTCGGGGAGGCGTTTTAAGCCCACTACCCTGGAGTTTCATAGCAAATTCAGGCTGCGGTGTGGTGTCATAGCTGGCGACATTACCCAAACAGCGACAAGTAAACACCCACAAACTCCTACGCCAAAAAGCTCTATACGCAGTAGGAAGCTGGTGCAAGAACAGCAGATTGGATGTTTAATACAAAAGTGCTACGAACCGACTTAAGGGGACCTAAATCTCTACTGAAGGATGTGGAGATCACTCAAACATAACACGACAGAAATGTCGGCCGAAGAAGGCTATTGAGTTGATTGAGTCTAAAGCCGAATGCTGTAGCGGGAGTTACACATGTAGACCAATTCTACGGCGTCACTGCGGTACAAAACTACATTCAAAAGCAAACTAGAGAGAGAGAGAAAAAGAGAGAGAGAGAGATCTCAACGGTCAGCAGCTAACCTCGTAACTGAAGCTCTACCATCATCTCCTTCTAAGGCACTGCTAACTTCCCTAAACTTCCTTCCCCTTGACTTGTGGACCAAGATCAGGTTGAATGCAACTCAAACTTATTATTCTCTCGCAAAAGTGCCGTAGGAGCTAGATTATAGTTCCTCGGGTATGTGCTCGGGCAATATTTTTCCACAAACTGGAACGAATGGGAAAACACAGACACTTTTAATCAGGTAGCCAAAGCCGCCTTAACAGTGGGTGCAGTCTCTTGTCTGTAAATCTTAAAATTAAGGCGCAAAGCCCCTCTAGGAAAAAGCTATTTTGTTGTTTTGCTCACAGGGTACCTTTGGGTCCTAGAAATGATATGTAATTGGCTTTAAAGTGAAAAAAATATTTTAAAAAGTTGAAACTTGAACTTTTTATTTTGCTGCAGCTCCTTAGAGCGTGAAAACATTAAGCGCGTCTTTCTCAAAATCATATTTTTCAAGCTGGGAAGACAGTTTATTCGGACCCTAAGTTAACTGAAATTTTGTTGGTAGCTTACCAAAAACAATTTTTGTTTCGAATTACGTAGCTCATTTTCGATTAAATATAAACTTTTTTTTAATAATTTAGTGCGTATTTTTTAATAAAAAATCAATCAATCTTTTTAAAAACGAGTCTGCCGCTTTCACAAAAATTAGTTAAAAAATAAATCTGTACTTACTTCCAAAGACCGTAATTTTTAAATCATAAAACTTTTTGCTTTTCGGTTCTATGTCTCATTCTTTAGAGGAAATCGGTCCTCCCGTGGACGCCTTTCAAAAAACCATGAATTAAATAATGAACATTATCACCGCTGTTTTGTAACAAAATAATAATTTTAAAGAATATTTTTTTAAACTCCAATATATGTTCAACGAAATGGTTAAATAGAAATTCTATTCCTTTTCCCATATCCCTACAATAATTTTAAAGAAATAAGTCTCTTTTTGAAACTCTAATTGAAAAAAAAAATATTTTCCTCTCTGAGATTTGTATAAAAGTCTTTACTGATAACTCTTCCAAGCCCCGAACACTTTTGCGCTCTACCCGTTGTTTATTATTATCTCAATTCCATCTATTTTCAGTATCAACCTCCGCCCGGCGCCTTCGCCACCGATCACAACAAACTGTGGCAATCGAATTTATGTTCCCGCAAATGACAGCTCTGACATGTCCAACGCGACCAACTGACTGTACGCATGACATGTTTGGCATATAAATTACGGTAAAACAAGTCATTTCGACGACACTTAACAATGACAATAAAGTTAAAAATTGATTATAAAGCTGATATGCCGCAATGCCATCACTACATACATACGAGTGTGTACATATGTACATATAAACAAGCGCACATATAGATCACAGGTGGGAGTGCACCCACCCTTGCTCAATGGGACGCTGGTAAATATAGCTAACAGTAGTGCATTTGAATTTGTAGGTATGTAATAATGCCTGTGTGTATTTATGTACAATACGCTCACAATTGGCGATTGTGTGATAAATGATGGTACATCATCGAAAATTAACACGAATCTTTAGAAATTGCGCTCACGTTTTGGTTTGGGCAAATAAATAAAAATAAAAAAAATAAAAAAAAAAATAAAAATAAAAATAAAAAAATAAATAAAAATAAGTACATAAAAACGTTTAACTCTGTAAACCAACTCATTGCAACGGTTAATAGTCAAGTACGCTAATTTAACAAT